GAGAATTAAATAAAACATTCGATGGATGTGCGCATGCTTTCAGATCGCACGGATAAGTCTAGGATGGATTATTCTGCCCACGAATGTCACTCGACTTTGCATGGTACCAAGCTACGACCAAATATGATTGCAGACAAACCAATCATGACTGTACTGCAACATGGACTAACGACTCCAGTTTTAGACCGACTATTAAGGAAGGCCCACCTTCATGGTAGACACTGCAGGGTTGTTTTACTATTTAGTAAGGCGTCTAAAACACTTACGTCACGTCAGAGGTGGAAAACGACCCTTGTCCTACTGCACTACTTTCGAATACAGGGTACCCAATACATTGACCATGATATATCAAGAAATGTGTAGCTAACAGTATAGCGTAGATGATCTGAGGACACCAACCAAACAATCGAAGAAATATGGGGAAACAAACATAAAAATCGGATAAGTAACCTACTTTAAAAGATCGGCTTCCACGAGCAAAATGCATTTTCAACCTAAATGACAGAAATATAGTTCAAGCGAGTTCAAGTTAGCAGGCATACAAATGGGTACAACCGTTTTCATCAAAAATACACTCCATCCCCAGAACCAACCAAACTGCGCTATCTACCGAAGGGCACAAGTTCTAAGCCAGGCTTTCGTTACATTCCATCGCATAATTTAAGTAGACACCGAAGGACATACAGGAACAAGTGTTGGGAGTTATCTCACTAAATCACTGCGAACAAAACTGGATGTCACCAAATTCGATAGGAAATGGGACAGAAATATGGCTTCTGCGACAATGGTCGCTTTGTTCGATGCGCTGACGACACTTGCAATTACCTCTTATGAACATAAAAGTAGATTCTGGAACAAAGTTACAAGACGCTCCTTCTTGGTTGGTGGCGGTTTCCCGTCACACTGCTCCTTGGTTTCAAGTTCGCTGAAATAGTCTGCCTTCTATATACGACCTCCGCAATCTCCTCATTGGGCAGATAGGTGGATCAAAGAATACTCTGCAGCTAACTAAAATGTCTAGACTTTCACATCCTCCGAAATCTGACGGACAATATTTCTTTCAGAATCTTATCCCAAGCAGAGTTTTGCCAAGCCGTGCCTTGTTGCCATCACTAAAGTCACACCTTTGAATTTGGCTCGATACTGTACTGATCGTATCGGAACTCTGCGGCTGCTTGGAAAATGTGTCCGTTACGGTCTAGCTCTTGAACCATACAATCGTTCTTCACAAGATAACCCGATTGTGCTAAGACCATAATTACATGGCAAATACATCAAAACACACGTACACCTCGCATCCGCAAATACCGGCGGCCAGCTGAAACCCTTTTGCGCGTCCACCATCCCGCTCACCTACTTCCGTTCCACCTGTAAACCATTTTCGGATGCCACCCACCGCCTCTTTCTGCACCGTATCCCCCTCCACACCCCCTGACGACGCGTGCCGTGACTTACAGAGCGAAGTAATCTCGGTAATGTTCTTGCGAGAGTAAAGTGCGTACCCGTAGACTTTTCCGGAGGGATTAGCATCTGAAGTATATGGTTTAAAATAACTGCTCTCTTAAATTCGTTACATACGCCATAGATGTTCAGTTCTCTGTATCTCAGTTAGTTGCTGTAGCCTGTCCATTCGACTTTCCTCAGGTGTACAGCGCGACCTCCATTGATCGTTTTGGTTCCTGTGGATATGTGCTCAACTGTTAGGAGAAAAGAAGGTTCTCGTCATTGATTCCAATCCAATCATTCGCTTTTCTGTTGGCCTTTCAAATCGACTCCACTCCCTAGGGGGGGGGGAGGTGGCAACATTTTTCTTCGGGCGTCACTTGCAACTTATCCTGTGCTTGTCTTCTATGCGAGTACAGTGCTGCCTGGTCGGTCGGAATCACCTCGGGCTCACTATGACGTGGGGCAATGTCACCTCGCTGGTTGTGTTTGCTTGGTTATTTGGTATTACCATCGCTTGAACCCACTCTGGGGTGTGATCTGTCATTACTAGCACCACGTCACTACCACCAAAATAGAACCTATGACGTCTGTGGATCACATGTCCTTGATTTCTGATAACAATAGTTTTCATAGAATGATTCACCCCTGTTATACTCCCTTCCATCAGCTGATACTATTTAGAGGCCAAAACATACTCCTCACCCCTGGTCAACAGACCATCTGTCGGTATGTGCCATCTTATGATAACGGATAAACAACTTTCCTGTCATGCGAATGGATACTAAAAATACAGTGGTTCCTAACGGTTCCAATTCCCAAGATGCCATACCAACTTCGTTCAGCTCTGATCTGGAAGCTGCCCACGGTGTACCCACTGAATTCTTTCACGCATCAAGGCCATCATAATCCCATTCAGCTGTAAGCACATTCATCTCTTACTGTCTCACTCGATGATGATGAAGCGAACGTGACAATACTCGATCACAAAGGCGATGGGACAAAAGTTGGAGACTCTGTCTCGAAAGTTTCCATAAGTTTCCAACTTATAAGGTGTGACCACATATATGCATGACGCTTGGAACTCTGTCTGCGATGTTTTGCTTACATAGAAACCACTGGATTTGAGAAGAGTCACTGTCCCTCCTTGATGTGAGACGTTGTATTGCATCGAGATTAGAGGGTCATTCAGCTGAGCAGCGGGTCAGACGTCAGCTCAAACAAAGTCTTCGTATAGACAGTGGGATGGTGGGGCCAGAAGGTTCAGGAAACTGAAGAGGCTGGTGCAGCAGACATGCACCTACTGCCCACCTTATTAGATACACTGGCCATATGTCAAATAAGAAGCCTAACAATGATGCATAACGGCTGATACGACATCAAGCGGAGGCACATTCTAGCCAAAGTACGCAAACAGCTACGGGTAAGCGCACACAGAGCTAACCCACACCTAAACACACTGACCTTATCTGACCGCCAACTGGTCACAGGAACACACATTAATCAGAAGAGATGATGACGGACCCGATTAACGCTGCATTTGACCTGCATTCAAATGATTGTAAAAATCTCTGAAAAAAACTTGGCCCGCGGCACCCGAACCATTGGATTTTTTTGACCTCCAACTTTCCACCATGTACGGAGCTGTTTCAGCTAATCCGAAAAGCCAGACCAATGAGGATAGCCATTAGTGAGTTAATCAAAGGTATTATTAAAAGCCAACTAGGTAACCGAAGTCCGTGTCTAGACGGCTGGGCAGAATATTTCCAACAGTAGGTTATTCGGGTTTCGGTGCCCGTATCTTTCATTCGACCGGCTCAGACAGAGGTGTGATCTGTCAATTTATATCCCCTAAGCTTATGCAGTATAGTCTTCCTTTTGACCAACTTTATGAAGAAGGCGAGGCATAAGCAACGAAAACCCGAAATCGATAATAATCATTTTCGCTGCAGTGATAACTTACCGCGTCTAAATTCGGCTAAACCAGAAAATCATCAGGCTTTTATGAGTCACGTGATGAAAACTGAAGAAAATTGAAAAGGTTCACCATATTGAGCTGGTATATGTGAATTACGGACATACAATAGCAGTAAGCCATTAGGAGCATCCATCCTGTACGAGATGGGTAATTGTCTTACCTTCGCGGAGTGTAGAAAAAATGACACAAATGAAGTTCCGTTACCACGTCACAGAAAACTTGCGATACGATTATCACCAGTCCCCCTTCCACGAGGAAACACGCCTGTTGGGGAGGCATTCTGAGATCTATTTGAAGGTTTTTACCGAGGGAACGAGTACCATGTTTACATATCCTTCTGTCACACACCATACCATGTTTACATATCCTTCTCCTGTCACACACTATCGGACTGCTAAGCCAGCTGAGTTTCCACTAGGATGCGGTGAATCCGCATTTTGCTTAGACCAACTGGAACGAACATATTTAGAACCGAGAACAAATTTCGGAGAATCGAGGTCTACCGGTCAGTGCCTTAGTTGAAAAGTACCCAGAGTGAAGGTTCCGATAATGAAGCCACACAAATGTCACAACGAAGGGAGCATTGGACTTGAGATTCGTACTTATTAGAGCTCATCGGCAATGCACACTCTTCACATGCGAGGCGAGCACGTTACTACTACGGTACTACATCCGCGTTATCACGTCCGAAAGGACAAACAGGTATACGCTCGAGGGACGTGATTAGTTTGCTGGACGCCTCGAACGGCAGTCCAGTAACTGTCCTGGCTGTCGAGCGAATGACCAGGAATTCCAAGTAAGGTAGCACTACGGACCTTTGGAAACTTGATGAGCTCTAATAAGGGGGAAACTGAGTCTGTTGCTTCCTCCCTTTGGAGCACTAAGACAGGGGTAAAAACTGTTTGGATGAGTGGCGTCACGTTTGCAAAACTGAACAGAGCGTTTTTCTTGTCCTGTTTGAAGGTAAAGCGTGCCAGAGAATGTTTTCCAAAACATGACGTTACAGCGGTGTTGGGGAAAAAACGAACAAAGACAAGATGAAAACTCATTTCACTGTCAAGATAAGTCCATGGGTACTACGTGCGTGCTGGCTGAAACAATGAACCAACACAGGCTTGTGAAAAATAGCTTCGGCGAAATTTCTGATCCGCATGCCCAACCCGATTTCCATAGTACCGTCGCCTGATTCCAATAAGATCAGTGCAGGTTACACATATCAGGAATGATCACGATGAGGTAATCACCTGAGAGTAAGTTTCCAAGGGTGTTTGTGTTTGGCCACTTTTACTTTGGGATTGAGGCATTGGAATTCCGCTATTCTGGAGACTAATTGAAGGTCAAAATTATGCCACTCTCTTAAACGAATGAAGTTCGTTTAGGTCACACGTGAGCAGCGTTTCACTTTGTGAATGAGCGTTCCAGACCAATATAAGTTGCATTTGCTTCCCTCGTGCTCACAGACTTGGCTTCTTTTAAACGATTTTACGGGAAACTAAACGAAGAGTGATATCCCCAAGATAGAGACACCTTAGATGAACTTGGGATTGCTTGTAACATGCAGGAGATTTGCCCTCAGTAGCAGCCACGGTTCGTACACAGAATGCAAGACAAATACGGAATGAGACAGTGTTAGGGTGCATTAAATTTACTGAGCAGTCTAAGTTCTCTGCACGGGTCCAGGGGCTTGACGGACTAAAACGAATCAACCGTAAGAAAGAAAATAATGGAAAAAACAGGTGACCAGAGCCCGTTCACTGCGAAAGTATGTAAATAGGTAGATGAGCGCACGTACATCTGGCCTGATATGAAACATCAAAACGTGAACAGAGCGCCAATAACTCAAAGGTGACCAAGGCGCCAAAAGAAAAATCACGGCTGATTATTAAAAGCAACTTGAAGTAATGAGTTTGGGACTGAAACCTCGCTTGTGCCAGGATAAATCCAGTTCTCCTCTAATCGTAAGGTGAGCATAACGACAATCATTAACGTGCCGGAAAAGCGCACATGGGAATCTGAACATCTGTCCAAATTGATAAGTGTTCGCGAAAAGTATCGCCGCCACCTCGCGTCACAACACCAATCGAAAGGGAGTAGCAATCATGAAAGTTCGTGGGAAGAAGCAATCATAAGATCGACATGCCGTCATAGCAAAATGGGTGCGACGTTGAGTTGCGATGGACTGCGTTTCCCGCTTGTGATCGATCCCAGAGCTCAACTCATCCTGTAGTATAAACGGAATAGACAATAGAGGGCACAATAGGTCATTCTGAGACCACAGTGGCTGGAAACATTTAAACGCTCTAAAATGAACCATGTGGAAGAAGCACAACACAGAAAGATTAAAAAAAGACAATTGTTCAGCTGTGACACCCTTCCGGTACCCAAGTGCCATGCCACCCGAACGAAAAAAGACAATTGTTCAGCTGTGACACCCTTCCGGTACCCAAGTGCCATGCCACCCGAAGGAAGCACGAGGGGCAGGATTCTGCCAGGTTGTTCAAGCCCAACACAGAACACAGTGAGAAAGGATATTTTGAACGTCAATAACTCATTGTCTAATTGATTAACGACGTTAGTGATGAATGCATTGGGCAAGTTAAATGTAAACAGGTAAGAAAAAAGATGATCTGGAAGATGTATCCCCTAGAATCTCGTAAGACTCAATTCCAGTCATTCCAATCCTAAAGAAAAACTATGCACACGGAGCTGAATAGGATAGGTTCCATCAAAACCAAATTCTAGCAAACTATGGATATTCATACGTACACTGACATTCTCAATGTACAGGGAAATTGGACCCGATCGTTACCGGGAGGTCCAAACGTGTCTTGAGCGAGATAATCAAGTACTCAACGTCTCTTCGGCTACCTGATCTAGGGAAATCCAGACTACCAACAACACTCACGGCGAGGGCCATGCAAAAGTTCGGCATCCTGATCTAGGGAAATCCAGACTACCAACACTCACGGCGAGGGCCATGCAAAACTTCGGCACTTAAAGAGCTCTCGGACCACTATGCGGTGTTCAGTTCGTCGCTCTAGGTGGCACTTCTAAGAATGTACCACTGAAACGTCCTGCCACAGATGATTGCGCCGATGCCCAAATTCCACCGGTTAATGAACTGAATCAGTTAAGGTAGGGTTCCATTTTAGTTAAAACTTTTGTTATGATTCAGTGAACTTGTTAGTAATTGACGTTTTAGGAGACCTACGTGCGTCGCCATGAGCATCGTGTGTCTTCTATGGTATCAACACGTATTGGTGATGCTAACCCAAACAACTTCAAAATGGAAGTAATGAAATCCAAAGTGATCGAGTATGGTGGTTTAGTCAGCACAAATGTCGCTTAAGCGACCAAACAGAATGGAAAACTACTATGGTCATAATATAGAGAAAACTACTTTATACAAAGCATTCTTTTCGACAGCTTACACCCCTATGCCTGTGTTGTGTTGCTTGGCCACCAAAGGCAATGGATCCGAATAACGTGTGAAAATGGAAGCGACCCAATTAAGTGATTGATCTGTAATCTCATAAAAAGCGAGTCGGCACATCGTTCGCAGCCTTCTGACAATCATGAGCAGCATTACAAAGAGTACTCACAGACTGGGAATGTAGGAGGTACACATGAAGGAAGACTGAAAACCCCACCAGCAACAGCAGCATTGTTTGACCTGTCCGTTCCACTGCATGCGGTGAATGAAGGTATCAGACGTTGTTGAGCAAAGGTCAATGTGTCACTGGTGTAACTCATTTACGTGCGACAGCTGGGACAAAGCTAGAGTGCACAACAATGCGGTCCTAATGAGCCGCCCTGCGCTTGGCTGGATACGTTGTAAGAAAGGGTGGGTGACCAATGTCGGCAGCGTTCGTGGTGTCAGTTTCTTTCCAGATAATCCGATTGAGTGTACACAACTCGAAATGTTTGTGGTAGGCTAGCGCCAGGTCTTTCTCTTGTCTACTTTGATTTTTTTTTCACTAAATGGCCTTAAAAAATTGGATAAACTTTGTGGTTGTACGGGAATGAACCACCAGTGTCCAGAAACGATGTTGCTATCTTTGACGATGACAATGTTCCGATACCGACTGATCTTGGTGCTTTGGTCACGGCTCGGCATGAGGAAATAGGTTTTCCCACAAGTTTCAGGAACTCTTCGCTTTACCGGATTTTAGTGACGTCATCGTCCGTGACATCGCCGGAAACCCTCGCCCTATAATGCCGGTTTACTTCAGACCATAGGCGACATTTTCCACAGTATTGCCAAGCAGAGTCAAGGCTAACCTGATTACAGATCGATTTGTCTGACCCAGTATGCAGATAATTATAGGTGAGTGGGCTAATTCCCCTTTTGACTACCATCGGGCCAAGAAACACCACATCATGCCTTCCGTTTTCCACACGTGAGCCCCCGTCTTGCTCAAATCTGTGGGTCTAGCGAGCCCCTTCCCACCAATCAGTGACATGAACTATTTGTTGACGATAATTGATCGCGACGTCTTGAAACAGCTCTTATACCAAACGTCAGTGCCGAGACTATTGTCGAAGCCTCCAGCGAATGTTGGGTCTCTGTATACGATGGCTCGGTGACTGTCTCAACCGATAGAGGATCATAGTTCGATTGCACTCAATTCCTAAAGGCTTCTAATACACTGAGCTGCGTCTGCATTACAGCCTATCATCCGCAGGGAAACGGCATGGTTGAGAGATGCCCACGCCAACTCGAAAGCATGGGTCAGTACCGCAGACACCAACCTCTGCTTACGTCGAACTAGGTTGCTTTTCGTCAACTTACGAGAATAATAAATTCCAGTAGATAGCCTTTCGAGGAAATCTATAGACGCTGAATCTAAGTTACCCTATGTTAATCCCCCGTTCATTTGCCATGTGCTTTTGATCTCCAGTTGTTTTGCTTACTCGTACCCGCCACTCACCTTGCCGCAGAGGCCGTCCCATCTAACACTTGTGTATTGGCATGGGTGTCTGTGTGTGAACGTACGCAGCTGACCTACTAACCCATGCGCGTTCATGTCCCGTTTGCTGAGCCTGCCCTGACTTGTTTTCTCATGAGTTCCGTTTGATCGCACGGCCAATGAGAATCACGAGACTGTCGTCGGAACGGACAATTGCAACCCACACTATTGAGCCATAAATCCGCTCGCCATTGTTTGGTGTGCGGACGTTGACATTGCGCAGTGCCGGTCAGCGACGGGCCTGCGCACATATTGACGCCACGAACGTGAACAGCTGAGGTTTGTTGTACACATTCGCTTACCCTTTTGTGTTACGAAAGCAATTATTCCTTTTCATATTCGGGATTGTTGAACCCGCGCGTCATCCAAAGTTCCGTATTGGGATCCTCAACAATACCAATCTAGTTGTTTCAAATGTTCTTCTCCTGGCGCAGAAATAGGAAAATCACCACCACTTTCGCTTATATACACAGCAGAGCTCTGCGGGAAACACCTGACTGACCGGATCCAGATAACAACTGGACGTGCACGTTCTGCTGGATTTTGAAAACGAACACAAAGATGAAAGCGGAAGATTTTTTTAATCATCCTGGCTCAACTGAACATTTTCCTAGCTTTTTGGAGCTTCATCTGTAAGCAGGGCCACCAGTACACTCACAATGTATATTCTTGAGAGATCATTAGGAGCTAATTTAAACGCTGCAACGAGAAACCAATGTCCGTTTGGAGAAAGTTTTGTCACTGGGCAAGAGTAGGACGATCAAGTAAATAAACCTTCAAACTGAACTCAAAACGAGAGTTAAGAAACGCACATATCACAAATAACTAACGTGCAAGGTAGCTCAACCACAGCGTTTTCATCTGCATCCCCAGACTGAGTGGTTGGATCAGCACCTGATGTGCCCTGTGGGTTGCTCACATCTGGCCGGTCAGTGGATGCTGATCCGTCCGAAGAAGCAGTCCCGTAGACAACGAAGTGCTCCCCATTGTGTAGTACAGAGTGGAGAGCGACAAAAGGAGTCCCGGACCGTGTGCGCGCGTATGCAATACCGGTGGACCCTGAGGAGTCTATGCGCCACTCGCGTAGTGAACCGTCTGTCTCGGTGCGAGTTGAGCCAGATAGTTCGGCATCCGAAATGGAATCAGACGAGTCCTCGTCAAAAGCACTGAATACTACTGGAGGTTGGAGAGACGAAGTGGGATCACTTCGTAAGCGTTTATGTCGATGGTGTGCAGCACCAGACAATCTTGTGGCCGCTCGTCCAGAACCACCACGACCACGACCACGACCTTGATGTCTGAGATGCCTATGCTGTTCGGGGCTTCGTTCATTTGAACTGGACAAATGAGTTTCGGCTTCAGCTGGCCTGCTTACACCGTTTACTTCTCCTGTTGTTGGAGTGAGTAGAGGATCCGTGGAAAATACGGTGGCGCCGTGGATTTCCGGGAGATCCTCCAGGTCACCAGGATTACTGTAGTCTTCCTCTGCAGCCGCGGTACTGATGTCATCGCCATCTTGTACACGATGCTCTGCTGCCGTACTCACATCCATGAGAAAATCCACTTCGTCACCTTGTTGACTAGAGCTAGAGGACCGTTGTCTGTCTCTCCGCTGTTGTCGCGCACGATCGTTGGAATGACGTCCTCGACGATGTCTCCTTCGTCCGGTAAAACCAGCGTCAAGACCAGGTACACGGTAGCCCATGTTTAGTAGCACCAGTTCCAACGGGTCTGCGATGGATCGTCGCTGATTACGTTCTGCAGCTCCAATATGATCTTTCACTACGCGTGACTGGTTTGGGTCATCCTTAAAATAATTAGATGTAAAATAAAAGCATGTGACTAAAACTAGGACATGATAGCATGGAATGTGGGAGAGCAAAAACAACGCTACGTGAGCGAAAGTAACATTTCCAATCCCTTCTGCTTCAGAGACATCATGGCGACAAACTATAGGATTCCACCATAACCGCATCAAAAATAAATGGACAGAGCGATTTCTGATCCGCAGTTAACGCATAACACCAGGGACTAAGTAATAAGTTTACACACATGGACCCTGAAGGTGATGTTAAAAAAAGGAAATGTGGTGAGTGTGGATTGGAAATTTAACCCAAAGCCCCGTCACATAGAAACTTTTGAGTGACTTATCTTCATAGATTTTTTTTCCGCGATTTTAGTGAGCCGCTGAACGATAGCGCCTAAGACCAGCCACCAGCTCCATTTTAGTATAACAGACATGTTTCATTTTGCGAGCGAGGTTACGAGGTTAATCCCTTTATGACGTGGAACAGAGACCAGATTTGATTAGGTGCGAGGTGTAGACTAATGCATCGTTTTGTTGAACCAGTTCACCCTCGGTCGTTTGTGGCAACTGTCCCTACATCTGGGGGTTCACATTGGACACCTTTTAGCGTTGATAATCGACACATTCCGTAAGATGAGGCGACAGCACAAACCAACAAGCCAGGTCTGAAACTGACCTCTACTGTATGAGCGACCTTTATGCACCCAGTCCATCTACAGGGGACCTACGCCTCACTACCAATGAAAATACAGCTGACTTCAGACGATAATGAATTCCGTTTCAGGATAGATGCCGTTGAGCTTGAGGACAAGTCAGCTCAGTGCACTTCTTTTCAGCTTCGTCACCCCAACCTCTAATGTCTGTGAGGTCGAAATTCCCTGGGGTCATTAGCTCGTAAAGGTCGGGTACAGAGATATGGTTTTTCTTAGATCTGATGCCGCCATAGTAAATAATCTAAATAATCCTGCCTCACGGTTTGGAATAGGCTTCACACTTGCGAATCGTAAGGTTCTGCCGTACCATTGGATAGGAAAGAATCCGAATCTAATGCTTGTAGATGGGTTAATTGGGGTCTATCTGGATGGCTGTATCACAGTCTGATCGGGCTAGCTAAGACGATGTTTCCACTCGGATCATGAAGGCCAGAACAGCTTCTGTCAACCTTCATCATCTGTGGGGCAGTAGTGATATAAGCTTACCTGTTACGGGCCAAGTTTACGATGGTTCATGCGTAATACATGAACAAACCAAAGCAGCTTTTGGGGGTGGGAGCATCCTTCGACTGTTGTCCTGCTGCATAGCAGAACAATCGCTTTTTAGTTGCCTGTTTGTGGAGGCGCTGGCACCACCCCGCAAAAGGCAAGGGGTTATCGAAAGACTGAGACCAAACGCTATGGGAAAAGGCCTTAATGGTCTGCTCGTTTATGTGTGGGCATGCCAACAGCACACAAGCCTTCGAACAGCCAAGCGTCACATAGCAAAAAACATTCACGCCACACCGACCGTCACGCCCGATTCGTACGGCCCGTTTACAAAACCTGGGCAAAATGCACCGAAGGCCCCACACACATTAAAATCGATTCAACTGTCCTAGGTGTTCACAAATCACAGCGAACTACTTTTGCTCGCACACTGAGCTCACTTGACGATGATGTATGTTGTGTGGCGGGAACCAGAATTCAAAAGCAATCGTTAGACTAACGGCTCGAGCACTCTGTCCTGGTGACAGGACGCTGGTAACGCAGGGGTCGCTGCGACATGCGTCATGGTCGACATCGCTCTAAGTTACTGGACGTAAGGAATTTAGCTAGGCTGGATATCTACTGAATATCGCCTTTGTGCGATTCGTTTAGCAGTCGTATAGCAGTCTCACGAACGAGAAGCTGGTCGTTGTTGGTTTATGATGTCAGCTTATTCCGAGAGGATGCAGCCTCAGGGCATCCTGAGTGTCGTATTACTGAAAGCCAAAAGTTGATTAGCGGGGACATGGACGCGCAAGTAAGTAAGTCTTGACTAGCTAGTCAAATTGGATTAAGTACGAGTAAATGACAGTGAGCTGGGGCTTCAGTTGTGTGCTGACCACAGTGTTTTATGCAGAATAAGTTCCAGGAATAACCAAAGCCACATGACTTCGTTGAGCCCCCCTCTCCAACAGAGAGTTGGCCACGAACCGAAATCGGTACTAGTTACCGACGTCGGGGATCAATTAATGTTTCCGGTAATTCTGGAACACCCATGTGGATTCTGACCATGAAATTGTCTGGTGTGGCTCGCAAACGGCGAACACATCGCTTAGTGACTAAGAGGACCATCTTTCCTGATCCCCCCAAAATTATCAGTAGCAGCTTTTGGACACTGTCAGCTGATTGTTTACCGGATTTCTACCTTCACCTAACTGCGATTAGCAGACCTTCGCAAAGTGCTTGGAATTCCGCGTATGCTATAAGGCACAACCAACTTTTCCCAACACTGGATGACGAGAAAACAGTAGAAGCGTTTGAATCTCGGTTGGAATATGATTTAAACGAATGGATGGTGAGAAATCCACTGAAAAAGTGGTATGTGAAAATCGCAGTGAATGGAACCAGCATCGAGAAAACTGATTCGAAAATCTCTAGCTTAGAAAGCGACCTGAATCATTAAGGGTAGCCAACTCAGTGTGTTCAGTAGGATTCTCAAGCCCAAGAATGATAGAGGGTGAACTCAGAACCCCTTCTTTGTATTCACAGTGAGAGCTTTCCAAAAGCCTTCCTACAGATTGTATGTTCGAGACGAAGGCAACCTATCCATTCTCGTTCAATTTTGTGATTGAAGGGTATTGAAGACCTTGATGCTTGAACGGGTTACTGACCCCGTCCACTTGGAATGTGCACGGCTCTGAAAGAAAAGGCACAAATGATTTTGGCTGAATTAACTTGAGTCATTTATCTTTGACACGCACTTGCATTCAGGTGGTGCAAGCTCATGTTTCTGAATGTGCAGTCATTGGATATGGTCTTTGTAATACATGAAGTCACTTTGGGTTATAGAGCGTTTACATGTCTTGGAAGTTGTGTTCGCTCCGACCGTAGGCTGATAGACGAGATCGATGCACTAGTCACCGAAGCCCGCATTGCTTTTGCTAATTTACGATAGCTGTGAAGACAAACAGGCATATCAGGATATGGTACGGGCGGGTGGTTACCAGACTTGCCACTGTGAGCGACAAAACTGAGAGGTCTTGAGGTCTTCGGTTGTCATTGGGTAAGACTCATAGCTCGCGAGGGCAATCATACAATAGGTGTCCCGCTGCCTAAAACGGGCTTCAAATGGGGGGTGCGCTGTGGTGGTTTGGTCAGGTACTGCGCAGGTCAAGACATCCTATGCTCAAAGAAGTGTCGTTTTCAGCGTCTGATGCAGAGTGGTGGCTAGATTTCAGGGATGGGTTCGACTCCGTCGATCGATCAGTGGTTGAACTACAGGAGACGCCCAAAAAGTTTTTGAACATAATCCGCTCGAGACATCTCACTTTTTGAGGTGAGAATTTACTGACCGGAAGGTTCGTGCCTCGAACCAAACCCGGGCATCTCGACTTGGGCTACCTGGCAGCAGTTTAGCCCTCGTACTTCATCCGGATGGTATGGAAGGTAGTAATCGAAAGTGTCACAGCTGAACGATTATTATTACTATTCTTTATTCGCGTACCCCCAAGCATGTAAGAATGTATGGGGAATTTTCAAAAAACCTCCCGACAAAACGTGGTGTCCGGCAAGGATGTTCTACTTCTCCTTGTTCTTGCTCAACTTCATCAATGAAATAACGAGGCGGGCGCTGAGGGGTTTTCAGAACCCATTTCCGAATCGTTGCTGGGGTGAGTCTTGTCGATCCGGAGACAACATCGTCCTCTCATTTGAAGATGAAGACCGAGCCCGAGCACATTTGAGTAATCTGAAGAAAATCAAGCCATCTGTTGGCATGTCTCGTGCCTACAAAGTGCATCGTCATGATTCAGAACGTTCAGTCTCTGGAAACACCCTTTGCAATCCAAAGAAGCACCGATATTGTGGAGAATCTTACTTCCGCAGTTGTGCGTCAAAAAGACACACCACTGGGTCTGAAGGTTCGTACCAGTTTATAGCAAGGGTTGCCTTGCTGCATGGTTGCCTCAGGATGTTTATGGTAGGGTAGCGCCAAGATCATCCTTTATCCAGTCTTCGCTCTTTTAAACGTTGTGGTTTCATGGCAATAAGTCATTGGTGTGACTTTAATGTTACTTTCTTGATGACGATGATCGGAGTTTGACCAGAAGAATAGGGTACGATAAGCTCTCCACCTTCGGGAGGAGGAGGCAAGTAATTCCCCTCAATGGAGATAATGCACGATGGCTGCTAAGCTTCCTTTGTTCTCTATCTGGAGGGTTTGTATAAGCGTCTTGAGGTGGGTACCTAGGACTGCTTGTGGCAGTCCAGGGTCTTTTGTGTTTACATTCTACTTTCATAAAGCCTTTAAATAAACGATGACATCACGACGGCAAAAGCATCAACGACGTTGCAGTTGGTCCTCTTGGTGTGTGAAGCACATGACGCTCTAACGGATAGTCTTGTATCCCCTCCAGAAACACGTTAAGGAAAGGAAACTGATCTTTTAAACATCGTAAACGAGATTCAGCTGGGTTCGAGGTAAGTATGCCGCAAAACCAAATTTGTTTGCAGTGTATTTTGTTTCGCTGAATCTGATTTCTTTTGC